GAGTAATCCCAGGGAGCTCTTATTGAAGAAATTTAAATTTATTTGCATCATTAAATTACTGACCTCAGTGCTGAACAGGACCATCTTTTCTTCTTCTTCTTTTTTTTTTTTTAACCATTATCCTACCTCTTAGTCTCAACTACATCCCCCTCTCAATTACTTTTTTTTTTTTAAATAATGTACACTTTATTCCATTTTGCTTTCTGGGATAAATCTTATTTTTTCATGTTTGATCTTTGTAAGTGATTTTCAACACAATTTTCTTCCACTGCTGGCTGTCTTACCCATGTACATTCTTTCGTACTCCTTTTCTTTACCAACAACTCTTACCTCAATAACCCATTTAAAATTTAAATTATGACTTCTTAGCCAAAATCCTCAATCTCTGATGAAACTAAAAAAGAGCAGAAATCAACTCAAGAGCCATAAGACTGTTGCAATACTTACAAATATCGTAATGCTGGTAATTTTAAAAGATAAGAATCTTCAACTTTTGTCAAAGGATTATGACTGAGATTTCTGAAAAATAGAATGGCAGTAAAATTATCTGCATTTTCAATAATGTTCATGAAAGTTTATATTCATTTTTATGGCATGAAACTTAAAGGTAAAAAAGTCATTTTCTAAATTTACCTACAAATCACCCTTAGAATTTGTAAAGCTCTCTTCATTTGGGAGCTACCCAGGTGTCTAGATGATAAAGTAGAGAATAGAAAGAGAAAAAAATAGAGGGGGAAGTAGATAGCAAAGAAAAAAATACTCTAAAGAACTTTTTAGGTCAAAAACCCTAGAAGGGACTATGCTGGTAGGAAGCCCTTCCTCTGTAAGAAATGCTATTTCTAGGGTCCTCCGTAAATCAAGGCATTTTTCTTTCATCTCTAGAAATTTTTTAAATTTCATGTTTTAAACTACCCAGTTAAAGACAAAAGTGGGACCAATCCCTTGCTTCTGGAGCTGAAGAGAAAAATACAAGAGGAACTGGGGAGACTCACACTCCCATTGCACACTCCCATGTGTGTTCTTCGGTCACAGCCTTTGCTACCGTGTGTGGGGTCACCTCCTTACTTGTCAGTCTCCTGGATTGTCAGCTCCATGAGAGCAAGGACTATACTTTATTGTCATTGTCATCTCTGTCCCTGACACAGTGCCTAGTATTTATTAGGTACTTAAGAAATGTTTGTTGAATAAATACCATTTTGTTTATATATCAACAAAGGGACAAATTCATTTTCTGAACAAATTTTTATTCCAAAATGCTGGAATAGATTTTCTTCTCAATTCTTTGAAACAAACAAGAAAAAGAAAAAAAAATTTTTTAACTCAAAAGATACAAGAAGAAAGAAAATTTGCCTTTAGGTTAATTAACTCTATTCAAGAATCATTAGTGTACTTTTGCAGAATATTATAAAGATAATCAGAACTAATGCCTTTTGGATTGCCAGGTATCTATGATCAACATTTAATATTTAATCCTCACAGTAACCTTATGCAATAGATAATATTATTATCCCATTTTACAAATGAGGAAACCAAGGCACAGAGAAGTTATATAACTTGTCCTAACTCATCAAGCTAGTAAGAAGCAGAGCTGGAATTTGAACTCAGTTCTGACTCCAAAGCCTGTGTTTAACCTGTATTTTAAAAAAGAAGAAAAAAAAAAAAGGAGTGTGTTTAAAATAATTTATTACTTTAACCTTAATTTTGAGGGCACTAAATATAGAAATACCTTTTCAAATTTCATCTCCCAATCTGGGAGAGCCTCTATGAGAATCACACTTTCTCTTATATTTCTTTTCTTCAATTATCTCCCATGATTAACTACTTCATTAGCCTATGGTCATTGAGGCTTTAGAGATTTTAAACCATGTTGCAGGCTAATCAGTAAAAACGGTGGAGTGAGGACATCTGAAAATTCATCCCTCCATAAAACAACAACAAAAAAACTCACAAAAATTATCAGAATCAACTTTCTCAGAACTCTGGAAATTTAACCAACGGGCTTGTGGCAATCTGGGGAGCAATTTATTTCACAAAAACACATTAACTTCTGTCAGGACAGTGAGATCTGTATGGCTTTAGCTTGTCCTAGACCTTTGCTCTCCATGACAGTGGGAGCCTTCAAACATAGCCCATGTCCTAATAACCAAAACGTTCCCCAACTTGGGAAAGGAGACAGTCACCCACGTGAAGGAAGTGCAGAGTTCCACACAGGATCCACTCAAAGAGGAGCACACCAATTCACATAGTAATCAAAGTGACAAAAATCAAGGATAAGGAGAAAATATTAAACTTAGCAGTACAAGTACCTCCTCGGAGAATAAATAAATAAATAAATAAGAGTTACCTCCCACCACCAAAACAAAACACAAAGGTAAAAACGGTGCTTTATTAATTAATTAGCTCTTGGCTCATCTTTGAGGGGGACTTCACATTCAAAATAGACTCTAGCACACCTCTCCCTTGTTCACCTGGGGTTAGTCAATAACATAGAGGTTTCATTCAAGAAACCATCTGAGTTATAATTACGTGAAACCCACCCAGGCTTTGTGGGTCTTGAGCCTCACCTACTTTGGAAAAATCCTGTCTAATAAAAACATGCAAAGTTATGAACACAAAAATCACTAGTACCCATCCCAAGACCTTGGAAGGGACCTAGGTAAGTGGGGAGCCCTACAGCTTCAGCTTCATTTAATTGATGATAAATCCACCTCAGCTGGGGCCCTTTTCCAGACTTAATTAATGCAGGGATAAATATTATTTGAACTTATAAACACCTCAGTAATGTAATAGGCAACAAAATGACAACTCAAGGGGTGGCACATTCTAGACTTTCTACATTTGGCACAAAACAAAGGAGGAGCCCAGCCCCCAACACACACTTACTGTATTCTCACAATCTTTTGAAAGTAACTGTGAATGAATTTTAGGAAAGCAATATTAATTTATTTCCAACACCAGCTCTGATTCTTTCATTAACTTTTTCTGCCACTTCAGATGAACACAGAAATTCAAGAAGATCAGGCTCATGCCTCTTGCATGACCATCCTTTCTAACCCACCACTCATTTTCTGCTTCCTTGCTTCCCTACGTGGCTACCTTGCTGCAGAGATGCTAGCATGGCTCTCATAAGTTTTACCATCAATTTTCTTCCAGTATGAAAGTTTCTTGGGGACAAAATCTTTGGCCTATTCTTCTTTGTAACCCCAGCACTTAGTGAAGTGCAGACACACAGTGCACATGGCACTCAGTGAATGTTTTCCAATAAATTCAGTCATTTTTATCGACTGTGATTCCACAATTCTTTTTCCCCTGGCTCGCCTACATAACCATAAGGAAACTTAGATCCTTATAAGAGACTATTGGTGTTATAAAATGTTTAGGAAAGGTCATGAGTTTAAGACATGGTACTAATGCTACTAAAACCTCTTGGCGG